AAAAAGCTCCAAGATGTGTTTACGGTACGCGAATACATGACGTGGGACAGGACAGTGAAAGAAAATAATAAAGCCAGAACAACGCATATGTTCGAACGACACGTGACGTCTGACTATACACAGGCAGTATCTACTTGCCGTAGTTACGCACCCAGCTAAGTGGAACGAGGCGTTACGTTCAGACGTCGCTGTTCCGGTAACACAATTCAGAAGGGAGTCCTCTCCGAGGACTTTCACCGTATTAACCCAATATCAGCCATACGCTTCAGAATCAGGTTAATAACCTCCTAGTTACACACTTCTGCTCTCGCCAAAGAGTTTGATTACTTCATTATTTATTTCACAATCGCGTTAATCAATCGATTAACCATAAATAATATAATTATTTTTAAGAATCTAATCAACATGTCATTTAAATGATAAATAATTATTTGAAGATATCACTTTTCATTAAGTTAGAAATATTTCGTTAATGCGATCTCAAGGGGGAGGACGTAAAATTCTGCTGTCTATTAACCAGGAGGAAGAAAATTTTTTCTACCGTGAAAGGCAATCAAATAGTCGTTTCCCGATCGCGGCAATTCATAAACATCCCCGCGGTATCTGTGTTCACGTCCATTAGCATTTCGTCGTGCGGGGAATCGCGAAGAAAACGGCACGTTCTGCAGTTTGTTCCCGGTATTGCGGTTTGAGTAACGCTCGAACGATCGCCGCGGAGGCAACCAGTCAGCCCAGCCGGGTGGTGGAAAGTATAAAATGTCAATACGTTTACCGGTGGCCCATTGTTGGGCTTGATCTATGTTTATGGGCGTTTCGGTATAGGTCGCGTTCACCGCAGAGCGCAACGATACGAAGAAAGCGCGGGTTGTATCTCCTTCTGGTAATGTTCCGGCCATATTGGTACAAAGGCGAGGAAGCTGGCTTCTAACTCGCGCGCTAAAATATAGACCGACTCGCCCTGCGTGGAATCGTGGCTGCGCGTATATTCAAAAATCGAGTTCAGATAAGGCGGTGTATAAATTCCAAAGTCCATTCCGATTGCCAAAAATCTATCGTAAATTTCTGCGTCTCGTTTGCAATTTGCACAATTAAGTTCCTCCATAAAAGTATCCTCTGTTGTTTAATCAGAAATATTTGGAGCAAAATACTTCTGCGAAGTAGACGTTCAGATGCAAATCCGAAGTATGCATTGAAATGCGAGTTGTTAATCTATTTTATAGGGGAAATCTAAAATAATTTTGAGGGGAGTACGATAAAGTAACGTCGGTTGCATTTTATTAAACAGCGTTTCATTTAGCGTAGTAGTCAGTTGGCAGTTTTACAGGAAAAGTGGTACGAGCAACGCATTGGTCAGACAGTTGAATGCCTGCTCGAGTATCCTCGAGACACAGGGAACGAACTTAGATCAAGAAGAGAATAAGTTACGGAGTAAAGATTTTTTAAAAGCGTATAAATGATCTCTGCTCGTTCTCGCACATAAGGCGGATTGTTTGTACGAGCCTGGTTGACGAAACGTGCGACTGCTTCCGTAAACCCTGTCCAATACGTGCTGGGACATTACGCGCGCGACTGTCTCTCGGCTTGCACGTGCACGGTTCGGATCTTGTGTAGGTAACGCCAGCGTCTGGCCGAGGGCGATATCGTTTACGATAATGCATGTGCCTAGTGCAGATCTCTCGGTCGAACGATCGTCCCCTTCGGCCTGGTTCCCCCATCGTCGACTCGTTACCTTCGACTTAGCACGTTCACACGCGATATGATACCTCGACGGACGCCGATCCGCTTCAACGACAATCTCCCACCCCGACACCCCCGCCGGTCGATTTCGAAAAATTGAACTATTATAGAACGATGGTCGAATTTATCGTCGCGCTCCTCGTCTACTTTTTCCTCTCTCGTTCTTCTATCCACGGACGTGTACCTCATGCTGTTAAAGTATTTTCTCATTTCGGGCTATTTTCCGGCCGCGCGCTCGATGCTATCCGGCACGTAGGAGAAAATTGCCGGGCGCAGAAAAAAGGAATTGTAGCGAGCTGTTCGCCCGCTTTGTTCGGTATATCGGCGAGCGGGTTCGACGAGGCCGGAGGGGTTGAGGCGCCGGAGACTCGCCGAGGGAATGAAACCTGATTTAGGACTGCGGTCCAGAAATCTCCCGGGGGACCGTCCTAGCTGACCACCGCGCACTCGCTTCGCTTTCCAGTGTCCCTCTGAGTGCGATCCTCACCCTGCCGCACACTACCACCGATTCTCCGCACCGACTCCTCCCTGTCCCACGTCCAACGTCCTCGTGTCCCCCGACGCCAACAAGTGCGACTCTTTACCAACATCGCGTTCGAAATGCGACCGGAATACTAAGGAAACCCTCCACGAGAATTTATTAAAATAAAGAAAAAGTATCCCGACAAATCTTGCTATCAACCCAAGTGGGAACGGAGTCCTGTTTCCTTACGCTGTCCTCAAATATTTTTCAAACCACGAAATATTTATATAAAAAATTAAACTGCACCTTCCGCGCTGGATTCTATTTCGCGTCCGCGTTCACGTGCTCGATGCAGATAACAAATATTGTTTCTTCTCGTATAATATCGAACCCCGCGAGTCCTGTATCGAACGTATCCCAGTAAACCCCGGAGCGAAGGGCGGCTACCGACCGGCCAGGGGAAAAGTTTTCGGCAAGAGCCGCAGAAAAGATAGAAATAAAGGGAGCGAGACAGAAGGAGACGCTCCTGGCACAGCCTGGCGTGTAGGTTACTACGTGCTTGCTCGTCGGGGCATCCCGTGACCGTGGTCTGGCTTAAGGATTCGGGTCAGGCTGTAACCTACCTCGATTGCAAATACAAGGGGGAAACACTCTTGGAAGCGCTGCCAAAACCAAAACTCAAGTGCCACTGGCTACACAGAGGAAACCACCCGTACGCGACGCCACGAGAACGCAAAAATTTAATCGCCCTCCTCCACGACTCATTTGCCTTTCCTCCAGCCACGGCTAATATCAATTCGCGGGGAGAATCTGCTATCGCGTATCGCGAAACAGACGTGCCGAACAATGCTCTTGGAAACAAGAAAATCTCCCGTGTAACAGTTAGGAAACTGTTCTCCCTGGCACGAACAGGAACATGCTTGAATTTAATAGATATCTCCAACGAAATTTTTGAGTAACACGAGACATTTATTCTCATTTATTAAACAAAGTAGAAAAAAAAAATGTTTAACTATAATTTGAAGCGTTGGAATGATTTGTCAGGTGCCTCATTAAACATTAAATTGAATCGTATATTATAAAAGTTTCAAGATATATAAGTTATGCATTAGCATAATTAATTGTTAAATTTCCAATTGATAGAAGTAGATATATTCTAAAATAGAAACTGAATTATCCATAAACTGAAAGTTCACAGTTTATATATAAATTGTTTGCTTCTTCAGTTTTACTTAAGGATGTATTGGCTATACAGTCAATCACAAAAGTTTATGTACCTTAGAAACAGGCATTTCCTATAATTAAAAAGAAATCAAACGTCGAAAGAACAATGCTAACAATAAATAGCTAC